CTTGCTGTTTGCAGTAGTTGCCGCTTCAGCTGTGGCTTGCCACAGGGACAGGCTGGAATTTCGGTTTGGTCCCTTACCAGAGCCACAGCAGAACACTACCTCCTATGACGGTCGCCGGCTGACAGGCCCTGCGTGGCATCTGCTTTCGGCATTACCCAATAGAGTTGCAATTTGCTGTGTAGTCGCCGGACAACTACTGGCACAGGCCAAGTGAGATGCGCACGTAGTGGAAAGTCTGTGGGACCTCTGCGCGAGTGTGGACGCCGAATCGTCTGCCGGTGTGGAGGTTTGCCGGCGAGTCACGCGGTTTCGCTGGCAGTCGGGCGTACATCGGGCCTTAGCACAACCACTCCCGAGGTCCAGATATTCTGTTCAGCCTTGGAGGTTGAAAACGTTCAAAAAACAGTCGTTCCTTTCACCTGCGTAATTTGAGCTTTCAAGTTACAAGCAAAGGATAAGCATTCGGCAAGTGGCCTCTTCTGGCCATCTCCCAGAAGCAGGTCAGACTAGATGACCGGACCCGAAAAGAGCCTAAACTCGGATAGCCCAGTAAACCGCAAACCCTATACCGTAAAGCTTGCAGCGCCTCTTGTAACACTGTTATAAAGTCATATAGCTTTGCATGGCCATCCGAAAACCCAAACCCGAATAGCCTTAAACGGCCCTAAACCCAAAACCCTAAACCCGCATAGCCATAGACCACTGAAGAGGTTCTTCATCGAGGCTGCCTTCAAGCGGGAGCAGGCGCGAGGGCGATCTTGTGGGTAACGGCTCCTAAACGGGTCCCTAAAAGGGTTCTATACGGGCTGGTTAGGGATTCTAGTTTGTTCCTTTGGGAGTCGGCATGGCGACACTTAAAAAGCTCACTTCGCAGCTTTTGGGGGTTAGTATAAGGCTAACTATGAGGGCTACTTCAAGGGTAACCATACAGGGTTACTGAGGGCTCCTAGACAGGATTTCTGAGGGGAAATGACAGCTGTACTTCACGTCGTCAGCAGCCCTGTATGTCAGGCCATGTGCGAAGAGGAGGGCATCACCATTACTCTGAAGTTCCAGGACATCCCCAAAGCCACTTGGGCTCGGTTTCAAAAGGGATTAGGAGCATGAGAGTGCGTAAAGGCGTAAATGTATTCCGTTACAAGCCCTATGCCTATACCCTATAATTTAACTCAGACTACTGTAGTATAATGTCCCTCCAAACCCTATTCTTGATATTAAGTGTCGTGTCAAGGGGCCTGCTCATCTGGATAGCTGCTCCCTAGCGGCGATTCCGCAGGACAACGCCCACATCTTGGCTGCCATTGACTGCCAGGCATCTGCACTCACAGTGTAGGACGAAGCCCTAAGCCGACTAGAGCCTGGGAGCCTTAACCCCTAAACCCTAAAAACCCCCAAACCCTAAACCCTAAACCTTAAAAGCCCCAAAAACCCTAGACCCTAAGCCCTAAACCCTTACAAAAGCCTGAAAACCCTAAAAACCCTCAACCCTACATTCAGTTAGAACATACCTTGCCCAGTTTGGGTAATAAATACCACCGTCAACCCATTAGATGATTATTCCTATACTCCCCCCTACACCCCACCTTATATATCACTACTACTTCCCCATTATCAATACAAGTATAGGAACAATCAATTACCCCATCCACATTCTCTAAGGTGGTATTATTAGCCAAACTGGGCAAGGGGGTCCTTGTAGAATTTGGTTCAGGGTTTAGGGTTAAGGGTTGTATGAAAGCTTGGCCTTCTCGGATTCTCCGATCATGTTATAACTCTAATGTAATTATAATACATAAGCAGTTATGTATTATAATTACAGTACAGTATCATTGTATAAGAAGAATTAGCTTGTTTGTTCTGGTTTGTCATCAACCGGTATCTCAATAATTACTCTGTCCTTGTGCTTTCCGAATATCATAAAGTAGTTCTCCAGAAATAGATCATTCATCAGCAACTGGTGAACGTGATCAAAAATCTCATCAACTTCAGGCTTCTTATCCACAATCTTAGTTTTCTTGTATTCCTTTCTCTTCTCTCTGCATCTAATACAATTGTGCCATGGTTGCCCCAATCTATTGAACCCGAACTCTTCGGCAGTTTTTTTACTGTGGCATCTTGTGCATTTGATTTTCTCCATCTTAATAATATTTTGAAACTGTTTGTATCTAAACATTCAGAACAAGTCAAGGTGTATTTAAAATAATAACGATAATGCTTAGCAGAGTAGCAACGCTTAAAACAATCAATATTTTTAACTCGCTTACAATGTAAGCACTTCCTATTAAAATCATTACATGTTTCCATAATTTCAGTATAAGGTTTAAAAGCAACTAATATACTATCTACTTTTACTGGCATTATATTATTATATTTCACACTTTTTCATAATATGAAATTATGAAAACGTGCATATATACATCCCTAAGACTTAACGAAACTAATTAAATTAGAATATTTGATGGGGCCCTTACTTCTTTTTTCACTTGGGGCCATTGTATGGGCAACACTGTTCTGTCGTATTTATTTAGATTTTTTATTATATGTTTTTATGTATTGTAATAATATTTTAACAATTTCAAAGGAACTATTACAACATCGTTTGAATTTGCTATCTTTAACTATTACTTCTTCTATCTTTTGAATTTCATCTGTCGTTTCAATGTAAGTATTCATTATTATATAACCTATATTATAATGGGCCATACTGCATTATAATTTATAACCTATATTATAATGGAAGATATCCCTACAGTAGAACCTATTGACATACCACAATATAGTATAAGAACAGTAAATATGAAATATTACCAAAACTACCCGCCAGAATGATTGCCGTAGCAAGTTCAACGGGTGGCAAATCGGTTTTAATTCAAAATTTAATACTGAAAATATACCGTGGTTCATTTGAAAGAACATACATTTTTAGTCCAAGTATTCATGTTGATGACACTTGGACGGCGGTAAAGAAATACATAAGCGACGTAATGAAAGTAGATACAGAAAAAGAACAGATTTATTATGAGGAATACGACCCAGTGAAAATAATAGAAACACAGCATAAAGTCATTGATTTTCAAAAGAAGAATAAACAAAAAGAGTTATTTAGCATTTTAATAGTGGTGGACGACTTTGCGGATAATCCTAAATTCGTGAGATATTCAAATATTCTACATGGTTTATTTACTCGTGGAAGACATTCAGCAATTTCATGTATTTTATCCACTCAGAAGTATAATGTCTTGGCACCTATTATACGACTGTATAGCAGTGCGTTGTTTATTTTCAGACTAAAGAACATGAATGAAGTTAATAGTTTCCTAGAACAAAATTCAGCACTAGTGGATAAAAAAGCACTGTATGATATGTATCAACAAGCAGTAAATGATGCTCCCTATTCTTTTTTCTATATAAACACTAACGCTAAAGATGTTAATAACATGTTTTTTATACGCTTTGGAAAACGCTTTGAAATATCAGATTAAACTGAAGCTACAACAGTTGAACGGCATACATTTATGTTCATTGCATTTGTTTTTACTTTTCAACTCTTCTACATCTTTGTCTAATGCTTCAAGTTTATCTATTATGTTCTGTAATGAGTTAAATGCTATTAGTTCGTTTTTAACTCGTTGAAGTTGCTCATCTAGTTTCTTGTTTATTTGTTCGTCTAAAGAAGGCATTATATAATATATTATATAATTCCTAATTTATTTGATTTTTTAATTTAGTTAACTCACCCTTTAAGTGTATAATCTGATTTTGCATTTCTTGAACCGCAGACCATAATATAACATTCATCTTAATATAATTTATTCTTAAATATTCATTGTCATTATCTTTCATTACCATTTTTGACCAATCTTTAGGCATTTTTGAATTTGAAACGTCTTGAGCTATGAAACCTACTTCTTTTTCTTTTTTGCCAATGAAATTAAATTCCTTAGGTTTCATGTACTTAACTATATCATAGCACGTTTTACTATTCATTTCTTTATTATTTTCCTTAAGCCTCTCATCTGATGTCTCTGTAGAAGTGCCATTAACATGTAAGCCTGTGCTTGATATTTCACATATGTTAGATCCGTTAATACTTAAATATATTAATCCATCGCTATCTGGATTATCTGTTTTAACTCTCTCACTAGTTGAAACTGTTGTATGTGTAAGATCCAAATGACCTAATAAATTAACACTATCATTATTAATTGCTAACTCTGGAGTAGCTCCAATAGCTCCAACAATAAACCTAATTTGTCTGTCAGTGTCTCCGTTTCTTATTTCAAAGTCATAATCACTACCATTTAATACTTCTCTCATACCGCTTGAATGTTGAAAATTTAAATCGCCCCATACATTCATATTCGCCTCTGCCGTCATATTACCAATACTATTAAAAGTCTGATTATTCACGACTGCTCTATTAATTGTAATTCCGTTAGTGTCGTCTAATTGTAATGCTATTGTTCCTGTTGTCGGGTCAGTTGCTCTATCACTTTGAAGACTAAAATTAATTTGACTTGTAGAAACAACATTTAACGAATTAAAAGCATCTGCCCTCTCAAATATCCTACCATTTGTATTTACCCAGTAATTACCAACAACTGTTAAATTTTGATTAATCCTGAACCATCCTACCTGACTTGTCCCACCTACTGTTAAATGAAAGCCTAGAACGTGGTTAGCACCGATGCCCATTCTTGCATTACTGGCACTACCTATGGCTATTTCCGTTAAATACTGCTGTCTTGATTTAACATTCTCTAATGTCACTATGTTCTTGGATATACTCACAATCCTAAACCTATAACTAACATTGAACTTGACATTACTTGTTTTCTTGTATAATCGGCAGATTAAGATCTCACCCACCTCATACTATCCGTTTTACCTAAACTCTTTCGGATTGCGTTAGACACCGTTAAGCACCTCATATTCGTATAGGCTATGTTCTTCTGTGATGCTGTGATATCATCTGTTGTGTTAAAATACTTATGAACAAACTCGGATAAAGATAACTTATGAAGCCACATATCATCATACATCATATTTAATATTTTTCTATTGCCTTCTGCTGTTGGATCTCCTTGTGGTCCTAATCTCTTACATATGGTAAGCATGACATTATACTTGAAGATCTGATTAATACATTCATCTACGTATTCGTCCGGCTTCCTTGTATTAGTCAAATCTTCAATCGGCGGTAGCTGTTTGACATCACCCGCTCCGATTATAATTTTATTCGGGTTTCGTTTAATAAACTCACTGATCCTATTTAATATATGTGTGCCATTCATGTAGATCTCGTCAAATACTATACAATTATAACTGCTATGATCAAACTCGGGGAGCTTCTCCCCATCGGCAACGGGTATGGCGAAAAACTTATTGGTAGTCACTGCATCGTCGTCAATATTTTGAGATAAGCTGTTCTGGGGCACTACGAATAGAGTTTTATAGCCTAACTTGCTGAAATGCTTTGCTATATGCGACTTGCCACCGTCTGCGTATTTAGATCGGATCATCATAGGGTAATGCGTTATAATATCTTTCGCTATGCTTTCCGTGTCCCACTCGTTTTCTATGGGTCGGGTCTCGTTATTAAATACTGGTATGGCGATCAGTTCGTTCTTTTTTGGTGCCCATTGCTCTGTTGGTTCTGCTATGTTCTTACTCTTTTCGTGTCTCCATCCGCCGATACGATCTGAAAACTCTATTAGGTTCTTCGCGAATCTTAAATGCTCCTTCCTAAATACGAAAGCATCTGTTTTAACACTCCATACTCCTATATGATTTTCTGTTAACTTGGTGTAGTCAGTGTGCATTTTGAAGTTATGGTGTTGTAATAATAATTCTTTGATGTATATATATATATATATATATATCCGTTTCGCAGGGTGGCTTTATCGGAGACTGTTAAGCAATAATATTTTCTGTCCATCTCCTTTTCTACGATGTCTGTCTCGCCGTTGGGCAACTCAATCACATCATCATACATACCCGAGATTCTGTTAATCTTGCCACCGATCTTGTTTTGATAATATAAGGCTTCCTTCAGAGTATCAAAGGCATAACTTTTATTGGCTTTGTTCGTGTTCTTCTCAAGTAGCCCGAAGTTCACATTAGCTATTAATTTTTTGATTCTGATGTCTTCGGCTGGTTTATCCGATATGTCTGTCTTCCATAATTCCGCTGTGATCTTTCTATAATCCACCTTATATACTCTGGATGGCTGCTTATAATATAGAATCTTGCACTGCTTCACGAAGCGCTTTAAAAACATGCCATATACTAAAGTGTAGGTTTTATTGAAAA